GATTCTGAGTTTGAAAATGAGGATCATTTTTTAGAGATCAGACCACACAACAATAAGCTTGTCCAAACCCCGTACCCAACAAGAGCAAAATAAAAGGAGCCTCAGTTTAGAGGAGGGAAAGGTGGAAGAAGAATACAAAAAAAGAGAGAGACTAGAAAGACACCAACCCATCTAACAGAAAAAGATCACAGCATTTTTAACTTATTACAAATGTTTTTAACCTCCAAACAAATTTCAGTTTTAAGCAAGGGTCTTAACTATGCACCGACCAACCCTTTTAACTAATTCCAAGCCTTTTTAGACATCAACAAATTTTTTAGGAAGGTCATCCTTAAGAGATTTTTTATGACCAAGTCTGCAGAATCAAATGCTATACAAACCAATACAGACATCTCCACAGACAACTCTGGCACTAATCCCACTCACCGTTCAATTATAAGAACTAATTTAAAGAAAAATTCTAATTTCTACCCTTCCAGTTTCAAATCCGGCTCCATAGAGGTGTTCGAAAAATTAGTACCAAAAGATTTAAATAACATAAAAAAACACAAATACCATATACACAAATCTATCCTCCCAAAAACAAACAGCACTAAAAGAACTGAAAAAGATGATACCATCATCATAAAACCAGCTGACAAAGGGGGAGGTCTAGTCATCCTCCCAAAAAATATATGTATATTGAAGAGGCCCTAAGACAACTAAATGACCCTAACGTATATGACAAATTACCCTCAGACCCAACCACTCTTATAAAAAATAAACTTAGAACATTTCTACAAGAAGGTCTATAACAAAATATTCTTAACAAAAAAAGAACATGACTACTTGAACAAATCCTTGAACATTTCCAAAAATCCCTGTCATATATTTTTTACTGAAGATAAATAAAAACCAAGATAACCCCCAGACAGGCCCATTGTCTCCATATTTTCTAACTTATCTGAATACATTGACATTTTATTACAGCCATCAGTCAAAGTAATGAAATCCTAAAAGACTCTATGATACTTCTGCGTTTTTTAAATGACTTTACCTGGGATTCTGATTACATGTTAGTTACTTTCGATGTACAATCATTATACACAATTATCCCCCACCAGAAAGGTTGTGAAGCAGTTTTTTCCAATTTTAAAAGAAGCTAAATCTATCCCTGACAATCAAATTGATTTTATCATACAAGGCATTAAGTTAATTTTAAACAATAATTATTTTTGGTTTTTAGATTAATTTTACATTCAAAAACAGGGGACGGCGATGGGGACCAGATTTGCCCCCAGCTATGCAAACCTTTTTATGGCACAATGGGAATCATTGGCCATTTGGGGTGAACATACCTGGTGGGCAAATGTGATATCATATTTTAGATACATAGACAACCTCTTTTTTATATGGTACAGAGAATTCCCTATCCCAATTTTTAAATCATCTTAACAACAACACACATGGCATAATCTTAACCGCAGAACACAGTAAAAACAGCATACATTTTTAGATTTAGAAATTTTTATTAAAGAAGGTAACATTCAAACAAAAACATTATTTAAAAAAGTCAATACGGTAATTGAACAATCAAGTTGCCATTTTAAGCCTTTGTTGGCATCCCCAAAAGCCAATTCCTCCGCCTTTGAAGAAACTGTTCAGGCACCAAGGATTTTATAGAACAGGCCCAATCACTGAAAGAAAAATGTATTGATAAAAATTACCCACAGATTAACCTTAACAAAACTTTAGAAATAGTCACCAAAATGTCAATAATAGAAGCACAATTATTAAAAAAAATAATCAAAAAGCACTGGCACATTTTAAAACACGACAACATTTTAAAAGAATTCATCCCCAAAAAGCCGAGTATAGCTTTTAGAGATGCTCCCAATTTTAAAACTATCCTCTCCAAAAACTACACTAAAAATGACATAAAAAAAAATTCCACCTTTTTATCTAATTCTAAAGGCTTTTTCAAATGTAATACTTGTATAGTGTGTAAAACCACAGACCACAACACAAAGACGAAAACTACCCATTCTACATCCCACAACACAAAAATCCTATCCCATTGTTGTGGACAAACATATTAACCCAATTCATATTAATAAAATGCCTATTTACTCAGCATAACCACAATCAGCATTACCCAACCTTATATGTGATTTACCTAAAATGGCCGCTAGGGAGTTTCCCTTTGACATCGACTAACACCCTCATTAACAAGATGGCGCTGGAATCTGGGGGAGACCTCCAAGATACCAGTGACATCACACCCAGTAGGAAGGGCACTAAATGAACCACTTAACACCTAACCAATTATTGATGTATTATTCCATGTTATCTCTGACAATGTATATGATGTAATTTTGTTTTATAAGGGGCATGCCGTCCCCCCAGAATAAAGATTCCTCAAGTTTTTTATTAACCCGAAACCTGTGTCTGGTGTGAATTACTTCAGGAGCGTGCACATATCTTTTTAAATTTGGCCGGGGCAGACACGCAAGTTAATCGATTGATTGATTGATTCAACATAACCCATAAAAGATATTGTGAGCTGCAACACCAAAAATGTTATTTACTTAATGAATGTCCATGTGGCTTATAATATGTAGGTATGACATCACGATGTCTAAAAACTAGCGGAACATTGCCGCAACATAGTAAAAGGCTACCCAAACCATTCCAAACCATTCTGTGTCAAAACATTTTCTAATACATGATAAAAACCCAAAACACTTAAAATGTATAGGGATACAAAGGTGTAAACTCCCCTGGAGAGGTGGCAATATTAAAAAGATTTTAGGTCAGAAAGAAATGTACTGGGTTTTCCTTTTAAAAACCCTCAGTAATGATCTGCATCACTTGGGCTCCATAGTGCAAACTCTAAATTAAGAGGCCCCTGCCTACCACCAGAAAGCTGTGCAGGAACACCTACATAGTCACTATTTTATCCTCTTAAGCCTGCAGAGGAGATTAGAAAACATCAATAATCATAAACAAAGAAAGCCTGAGAATCTGTGGTCTCTTTGGTGGGCACTTAAGCCAGACACGAATACCCTCAGAGATCCCTGCAACAGCAAAAAATGCCTTTTCTTTAGGACATGGTGACACTTAAGCAAGACATTTGTATCAAATTGCCTAGATATTTTTATATGTCTGTACATTAGTTCCGTGTGACTTCAGATAATGTTCCATATATTCTCTGAAGTTGCCCTATAATTCATACCCAAGACCTTTGAATTGTCCTTTAGTAGTAAGTTGGTTAATCATGTTAAATAAACATATGTATGCAAAATAGAAATCAGGTACCATACATCAAACAGGTTCTGGGGAGACTGGCAGCCTTTGTGTGGAGTCCTGGTTGCAGGAGAGGATTGGAATATTGTTATGTATTTGGCATTGGACTGCACCTCTAAGTGTAAGGATTTCATGGTACACCAGCACCAGTTTTTTTTACAAAGTACTGCACTCACATCAGTTAGCAGACTGTTGGCACACCATTCACCGCCCATGCCTACTCAAGGCTGGACATGGTTTTTATTTCTCATAGACACTTGCATAAACTAGTTGAGGCCAGTATTTGGGAGTATCACATGGTCAGATAGCTTCTCAGTGTTTATGTCACTAACGTTCCAGGGGTATCTCCCCCAATCCCCATAGTTGTGCTTGGCAATACTAGAGTGTTAGAGGGTACTCATGTTTTAGACCAAACCAAGTGTTTGCTTGAGTTTCTGCCCCTATCCAGATTTTAAAGTGAAAATGCGTGCACGCTGAAGAAATCACACTGACAACAAAATTCACTTAAATAAAAGCTTCAAGTGGTTTACTTAGGGGCCAGCAAACCCCTTATATAGGCAAAATAATGCAGGAGTGTACAACATATGGAATGTACATTTTATTGGTAATTGCTTAAGTGTTTTATCTTGCTGCACTTCCTACAGAGTGTGAGGTCATCATCATCCTGGATGCAGCTCCAGAAGGAGACGCCATCTTGTTACATGAGGTTTCTTGGTCGATCGGAGGGGGTGCCCTGGCAGTCATTTTGAGTAGTGAATGAGCACAGGAGCATATAGTAAATAGACATTTTACAAACATTAATTTCTATCCATCACACTCAAATTACTTTAGTTACTTATTTCTCTGAAAACACAACCCATGGGGTCTCTGTCCCTTGGGTCTTGGAAGCCCATACGTGAGTTATTTAGGGTGTTTTGATCATATTGGGTGACCAACTAAAGAGGTAATGCCTAGCACCTGTCTAGTCTCTCACTCAATGTAGATAATAGAAAAAAGGTCCAGGCACTGCAATAGCTTCAGCACATGTATTAGAACAAAAGAAACACTGCAACATATTGACCCAAAATTGGGGCTTTGTCAAGTTGCTCCACACTCAACAGTACATACAATTATGGACAAAAAAATTGTGAAAGTGCAACAAACATACAATCAAGCAATTAAGTGATTATTAAACAATCAATGTATAAACTTAGATCATTTTATAGGTCTAGTAGCACTACAGCTAAATAATGCACTTTTGCCCAAAAATAATGCTTGTGTATGATTATGTCCCTGTCTACGTGCAAAATGTAGCCCATGGAGCAGCATAGCTAAGGGGAGTGGGCCTTGATATTAGGGTCAGTGGTTAGGGATTGGTTTAAGGAAATGATGTGGGGTGGAGTTATAAGAGGAGTATAAGTATTGGCCATTTTAGATCTAGGGATCACTTTAATCTAAGTTGCACTTAGCTGTTGTTGTGGCAGGATTTGTGTGGCTTTTTCTTTTGTTTCCTCTGCAGGTTGTCAGCAAGATGGAAGATTGGCTGGAAGGAGTCCGGGCAGCTGTGCAAGAGAGGGGTGTCGAATGGCTGAGGGATCACCTTGGAGATGCTCTGCCATCTGGATCAGGAAGCTCCCAGGGTCAGAGGCCGGTCAGGAGGACAAGGTCCCCGCAGATGTTGAGCCCCAGCGCAGTTCCGGGTTCCCGGTGTCCAAGGAGCCCTTCTGGAGGTCCAGATGGTGACGGTGAGTTGGCCGGCGGGAAGGCCGCAAGTGGAGGAAGTCGCAGGAGGCGTCACAGTGCAGCCGCACGAACACGTCGTCAGGCGAGGTTGGAGTTGCAGGCTGCTGGTTCGGGAACCGAATCCGAAACTGCCGAACGTTCGGGAGACGAACATGGATGTAGGAGAACCGGCGAATGGGCTGAAACTGCCGAACGTTCGGGAGACGAATGTGGAGGTACTTATACTGCCCGAACGGTAGCCATACTGCCGGCCATTCGACTGCCGAACGGGGAGGCAGAAAAACTGCCGAACGTTCGGTTTTTGTGTCCTCTCTTACAGGGAATGAAGGAGAAGTGGCTGCTGGTGACAGGAGTTCCAGAAAGTGGCCATTACCGACAGGGTCCAGAGGAAAAAGGCGGAGCGGTACGGCTAGCTCAGCAGCAGGTCGTAGGAATGCTCAAAGTGCTGTTGGTGGAGCGGGGGCAGTTGCGGCACATTGCCCGGGTGAGTCGACTTCCGATGTAATTTCCCCTCCAGTGGTGGGTCCCGGTGTTAGCATGGTTGGTGACGGCAGGGTGGCAGGAGGCAGGCGGGGGACTGCTAGGGCACGGAGCGGACCAGAAGGATATAGCGATACACAACGCCACAGAGTCTCCCCAGTCAGCGTGAGGGAGCGCAGCGCTTCCCCTGGGTCTCCCATACGACCGGGCCAGGGATGAAAACAGGCGGGTCAGGTCATCAGGGAAGGATCAGAAGGGAGTGCCAGTGACGAACAATGCAGAAGGTTTGCACCCTTCAAGAGGATAGCGTGCAGGGCTCTAGCAAAGGGCACACAAGGTGCAAGGAGGCACTGGTCGCATCGCAGCCATCGGAGGGTGACTGACGTAGACGACACGAACCCCTGCGGGGCGTAGGGTGGCCCCTGTCAGGACGCGTGGCTGGAGGCAGCAGGAAGACAGTTCCATGAGCGAGAATTCCCCGGAGATAGTGCGGGCTGCTGCGCAGGCTCACGGCCCTCAAGGACGGACGGCTAGTGGGGAGATGGATTACAGTTCCCAGGAAGAGAGGGGGCGGGGCAGGGTTTCCACTGCCATCCTAGAAAGTAAATCTTCTCCTTGCAGGTCTCAAAGACGGTCACCCTCGGTAAGGAAGAGATCCCACGCGCTGAGGACATCGGGACGGTCGCCGGCAGGCAAGGCTGACCCGGTTGCCAGACAGGCGTCTTCAAGGTCGCCCGCGTATCGGGTGAGACCCAGCGCTGCGGGAATAGGGCCTGGAGTGGTGGAACGCTTGGGGCAGGACATCCACAGTCGGTCGGCAACCCCACGGCCTTCGGTGGCAAGGGGTGCGGAAGGTGAGACATTGTCATTGCAGCAGTCAGTGAAGCTTTTAGATGGCATCAAGCAGCTAATTGATTCTTGGGGTGTAGGAAAAAGGAGGGACGGGGATTGCAGTTAGGTTTGGGCTCAGCCGGGGGAGGTCACAGGGTCGAGTCCAGTGGTGGTTTCGGGGGCCAGGGGTAGCACGGTTTGGGACGGGAGTATGACCCCCGTGGTGGAGGCGCTCAGATTGGCGAGCGAGAGGGACAATTTACTTGGGGGTGTCCCAGAGGCCACGCGGCAGAATGTACATGTTTCTTTTTCGCGGGCCCGTTGGGCTGTCATCTAAAACTTGAGGTGAAGGAGAGGATCTGGAAAGGAGAGTTCATGGAGCTCTTTTCGTTTCTCCCCCTTGAGGACTACATTGACCTCAAGGAGGAGGATAAAAAGGATGCTAAAAAAGAGGAGGAGGAGAAGAAACGGCGGTATAGGAAGATCCCTAAGACGTTTGGGAATTGGTTGAGGGCATTCTGCATCTTGGCCAGCGTGATGGGCGAAAAGGCGGCGGAGCGCTGTTCACAGTTCTTTTGTTACCTGGATGGTATTTGTGAAGTATATCGCACGTACAGGGTCTGGCATGGTGGTGATATGATGAGCGGTTTCGTCAGCACCTGGATGCTAATCCAGGGATGCGGTGGGACCAGATTGACCTACCACTCTGGATAAAACTTATGATGGGGCAGAAGGCGTCTCCCTTTCAGCCGGGGGCCGGCACGAGCGCTTCCACCGCCGTGTCGGCCAACCAAAAATGGGGCTATTGTTGGCTATATAACAAGGGACAGTGCAAGTGGGGGGCCACATGTCGCTTTGAGCATGAATGCTCCGGGTGTGGAGGCACCCACGGAGTCCACAGGTGCTTTAAAAAAGGTAAAGCAGCTACCGCGGCGGGGGTGCCTGGAGGATCGGCCGCGTCCCCTGCAACTGGGGGAAACGCCAGTGAGGGTCAGTGCGATGCTACCGTGGCTAAGCCGCTATGCTAACCGGGAAGATGTTGTTGCTCGAGGAGGGGTTTACAAAAGGGTTCGTGATCCCGTTTCGGGAACGGGTGGTGACTCATCGGCAACTTGAAGTCGGCTGGGGAATTTCCGGGGGTGGTTAGGGAGAAGTTGCTTAAGGAGGTCCAGTTGGGCAGGGTGGCGGGACCGTTCAGGGAGCCCCCTCTACCTAACTTGAGGGTATCACCACTGGGGGTGGTACCCAAGAAGGAGCTGGGTAAGTACCGCCTGATACATCACCTGTCCTACCCCAAGGGGTCGTTGGTTAACAACGACATTGACAAGGCCCTTTGTTCGGTGTCGTACGCTTCGTTCGACCAGGCGGTGAATCTGGTGCAAGGAGCGGGCCATGGGGCATTGTTGGCAAAGGCGGACGTGGAGGCGGCTTTTTGCCTTTTGACAATTCACCCGAAGTGCCATCACTTGCTGGGATGTTACTTCGATGGTGAGTATTACGTGGATCTATGTTTGCCCATGGGGTGCTCTATATCGTGCGCGTACTTCGAAAAATTTTGCACATTTCTGGAATGGGTGGTGAAACTGGAAGCGGGCACTAAGATGGTGGTTCATTACCTGCATGATTTCCTATGTGTCGGGCCTCCTGGATCGGAGGAATGCCGCATGGGACTGAGGATATTGGAATGGGTGGCACACGTTATTGGAGTCCCCTTGGCGAGTGACAAAATGGTGGGGCCTACAACATGCTTGAGTTTCTTGGGCTTGGAGATTGATTAGATCAAAGGGGAGTGTAGGCTGCCACAGGACAAGTTGCTGGCACTCTGGAAGGCAGTGGCGAGGTGCGGGAAGCTAAGAAGGTCACGCTCCGGGCACTTCAGTCACTGCTGGGTCGGCTAAACTTCGCCTGTCAGGTGATTCCGGTCGTGAGGGTCTTTAACAGGTTTCTAGCTAGGGCGACAGGGGGGTGCTGTTCCCGCACCACCTTATTCGGGTCTCAGGGGCTATGAAGGCTGATCCGGACGTCTGGGGGGAATTCTTACAAGATTTTAATGTGAAGGTGTTCTTTCGGGAGCCGGTGGAGTCTTCCCCGGAGCTGGAGCTGTTCACAGATGCGTCGGGGAGTGCCGGTTTCGGGACTTACTTCTGAGGTCAAAGGTGCACGGTAACTTGGCCAGAGACATGGAAGGCCAGCCCGCTGATACATAACGTGGCATTCCTGGAGTTGTTCCCGTTAGTCGTAGCACTGTCACTATGGGGTCCACAGTTGAGGGATAAGAAGGTTGTATTCTTTTCGGACAATATGGCAGTGGTAGATGCAGTGAATGGTCTTTCAGCGTCCTCTATCCCGGTGGTGCGGCTTCCTCGCCGTTTTGTCTTGTTCTGTATGCGTTTTAATATTGTTTTTCGCGCACGTCACGTGCCTGGACTGTTGAATGTTATTTCTGATGCGTTATCTCATTCGCAGTGGGAGAGGTTCCGGCAGGTGGCATCTGGCGCGCGGGTGGAAGGGATGTCTTGCCCGGACGAGATATGGAGGCTCGGGACATCATGCTTGGCGGACTGATCAGGGACTCCCTGGCACCTGCTACCTGGACGGCATACAGTAAGGTGTGGGGGGAATGGGACGAGCTGGTGCAGCATATGGGGGGTCAGCTCTCAAAGGAGGCCCGGTTGGACGCAATGTTGTGGCTCTTGTGTAGGTCGTTCACCTCAGGGGCCTCAGCAGCGGTAGTAGGGCATAAGCTGGCAGCGTTAGCCTTTTTGTTCAAGTTTAATGGGTGGGAGGAAGTCACAAAACATTTTCTTGTTAGGCAGGCACTGAAAGGTTTCAAGCGGGGTAAGGTGTCAGTGGATTCCAGGAGGCCGGTGTCGTTCGAGTTGCTTCAGCGGGTGGTCCAGGTGCTGCCCGAGGTGTATTTTTCGGGATACGAAGTTACACTGTTCTCCGTGATTTTTAACCAAAACATAAAGTGGAAAACACCTAAAATACGTTGAAATGTATATAAACAAATTAAACAACCTGAAATCATGTATATATCCGTGAAGAGAATCTGTGTAAAGAATTAGAAAGCTAACATAGCATAATACAGTATTGGATAAAGTGAGTGATAAATGTGATAATAAGTGCACTCACAAACAAACGTAAAATCAGGCTTCTCACCCTCTCAGGGATAATATGATGTATAATGAGTATGAACTTGCAGTATCCTCCGATGGAATATATGTAAATAAAGGAAATCAAATATAGTGAAGTTTGTTATAAAAATACAAAATCACATTTATTGGTCGCACTTACACATAAGAAAATTAGGAAGAGCGTATCTCCATACAACATGGAACTCCTATACAACGTGGTGGCAGGTCCAGGAGTGAATCCAAGAACAAATGAATGGAACCACCAAATACAGGTAAATACAAAATAAATTAATAACATAAATTAAAAGTCCATAAGAAAGAAATCCAACGCGTTTCGTCCAGTGAGATATAGGGATATTTCTGTCTTCATCCTTGTGGGTATATATAATGCGGGTAATTGAAATTAATTTGGAACATCCAGTGTTCAGCGTGCATTCCATTCTTGGAATGCAAAAGGGCGCAGACCGTCTATGTTGGTTCCGTAATATAAAACGCATGCGCACGGCAAGCGCACATGCGTGTACGAAAAGACCAAAACCTAGAGGGGACAAAAAACATAAGGCAAAAAAATTCACCCTTGCATCTGATATACAAATATAAAAACCAAGTATGATTGCAACATAAGGATTCATATATTACATAAAATGGAATGAAAAAGTTATAAATCATCACATTATATAAAAGGAGTGTCCAATATATAAACAACTACTCAGTAGAGCTGTAGATGATATATATGGACCCTAAAAATTAATAATAATAGTAAATACTAATGATGATGAGTTGGATTTTGTAAATATGAATCACATTCTGGTGCATCACACAAAGTGATATGTACAACTATATGAGAAAAAATGACTAATGATGTAATATGCATAATTATAAAGAAAAAATATAAAAATATAAAAAATTAATTATTAATATAATATCCATAGTGATACAGAAATGGAGGAAAGAATGAGTCTAGTTAGAACACTAACCAACAATAGGGCTATTAAATAAGACATTGAAGGTCAATTTCTTGATTAAGTCCCTGATGTAAAGTTTTAAGATTAAAAATCCACAAAGCTTCCTTTCTGATCAATTCTTGTGCCCTGTCTCCTCCCCTCCAGCCCAAATGAACTGAATCTATCCCGAATGCTTGAAAAGTGTTCCAACGGAATAAGGAACACAAATTACAGTGTTTTGGAACACTGTGATCAAGTTTATTTTTTCTTATGTTATTAAAGTGTTTCAAAGTTCCTCTCTGGGGCCATCGAAGGGACAGGAATATCCCGAGCGCGCAGCCCACTTCAAAGATTGCCTACTTTAAGGATTGCCCAGCGACCTGCTATACTGACCAGATTATACAGAGAGTTGATGATATGATCGTTTCTTCACTAAACAAGAATCGTTTTCATCCCCACCTATCATATTACCATCTGCAGACTTCAGCATCCTCCTACTGTGTATATCCAAAAGCAACTTCTACATTGGTGAGATCCATCCATATACAGTGAACCATATAGTGCACTATATTTTGGACTGGTAGTTATCAGGACTATATTACTTTTTTACAATTATTATTTTTTCTTATTTTTTCATTTTTTTTCATTTTTTCTATTTTTTTCAACCCATTTTTTCTATTTTTTCATTCCATTTTTTCTAGTTTTTGGATCATTACCTACTGTAAATAGATACATAGATTATGAACTGGAGGTTTTTTTATGTTCTTGTGAATTTTTGGTAAAAAATAGAAAACCGCTACTTTACAATTGGGATTGTAGATGAATTTAAATTCATCTGGATTAATTATTTTATTCTCCAAACCTATTGTTAATAATGTATTAAGTTCTACCAAAAATTCAGGTGTCGGATTTTTTCCCAAAATTTTATAAGCGTTTGCGTCATTGAGAATGTTGTAAGCCTCTTGTAGATAATAGGATTTATTCATGATGACGATTCCTCCCCCTTTATCTGCCTCTTTAATGACTAGATTATGATTTTCCATTAAAGATTTTAATGCCAGTTGTTCTTTCTGGGTAAGATTAGGTCCAAATTTACTGTCTGCAATTTTATTCAGGTCCTCTTGTACTAAATCATTAAATACTTCTAGAAATTTGCTTTTCGCTGTCCACGGAAAAAAAAATAGATTTTGGTTTTAAAGAGGTATGCATAATCATAGGTTCTGTAAATGAAACATCATTATCATTATTGGTCGTGCATATAGGACTAACTGAACTATGTTCAACATTAGCTTGGTTTATTTCTTTATCCTTAAAAAATCTTTTTAAGGTTAATTTTCTTAGAAATTTTTGATTATCTAGATAAAGATTGAAATAATTACAATTGGAAGCAGGGGCAAATTTTAAACCCCTTTTTAATAATGACAATTCCTGTGATGAAAGAGTAGTATCTGACAAATTAAAAATACCATCCGAAGAATTTAATTCTGTCTGTATGAAAGGTGAAGTGGAGTATCCTCCTCCTCCACCTCTAGGTGTGGTCTTTTCTTTATAGGAGATTTTTGAGTTTGAAACCTGTGTTGTGTGTTTACTGAATATTGAGTTCGATCTAATTTTTGGTCTCGTTCCCTGTCTAAAAAAACTTCTTGATTTCTTTAGAATACTTAGAATGATTGGGAGATCTTTTTGATTGATTACTGTTGGAAATGGGAGGATGGGGGTTGGAGTAGTATACAGAGTTCTCTCCATGATTTTTAGTTTTGCTTTTTTCAGGGCATTTTGTGTCAGCGAGCTGGTCAGAAGTAATCGCCAAGTGGCCGGGGGGCTTCAGGCGGTGGATGTGGAAGTGTGGAGTAACAGAGTAGTGATCAACCTGAGGCAGTCCAAAATGGATGTACTGGGAAAAGGAACATTGGTTACGTTGTGGGAGCTTCCGGGTGGAAAAATGTGTCCAGTTAGGTGCGCAGTGGCCTTCTAGGAGGTGCGGGCGACGGCCGGGGGGATCATACTTTAAGCATGAGGACGGCTCTTCGCTATCGAAGTTCCAGTTCATCAGGGTTTTTCGGAAGGCGTTGGAAAGGTTGGGAGTGGACCCGGGCCAATTCGGGACTTATTCCTTTAGGATTGGTGCAGCTACTGAAGCGGCAAGACTGGGCTTGGGAGATGATCAGGTGAAGAAGATTGGCAGGTGGGAGTCGATGAGGTTCAGATCTTACGTCAGGCCAGGCAAGTTGGTATAAATCCTAAGGGTGGTTGATGGGAAATTTTGGTTTCGCAGTTTGTTTCGTGGTTGTCTATGTTTGCTTTATGTCTTACAGGTCGGATGGCATGGGTGGTCGGCCACTCATACATATACTGGGCGCATCGGAGAGCTGCAGTTCGACATCGTGGTCTACAGCTGGGCTTTCCAAGTTCCGTGGTTCAGCTTCGGTGGTTTGGTTACCGGGGCTGGGGTTGGAATGCAATTTGTGTTGAAATGTTTCACAAAATTCCTTTGGGACAGGTTCCAGACATAGTGGTGCTTCACACAGGGGGCAATGATGTGGGGTTGTTACCTCAAAAGGTATTGATTGAGTGTATGAAGAGGGATGTGGACAAGCTGAGAGAGTTAGTGCCGGGGGTTATGGTGGTATGGTCGGAGATGGTTCCGAGGTTTCACTGGCGACACGCGTGGAATCCCTCCGCAGTGGCGAAAATTAAGTGAAAAATCAATAAAGTGATGGCAGCATATGTGAAGCGGTTGGGAGGGGTTGTAATTTGGCACAGGGAGTTGGAAGACATGCTTCAAGGTTATTATAGGTGCGATGGGGTCCATCTCTCTGAAGTGGGCTTGGATTTTCTATTGTTGGGTTTCTAGGAAGTCCCCCAGAGAGCAATCTTTTCCCTGGGGGGGGAGGGGTGTCTCTCAGGAGCTCGAGGAGTCAAGCTCTGAGCTGTGGCGGGGGATGGAGAGTAAAGTTGGGGGGAAAAAGAGTGAGATGGGGAAAAAGTTTGATGTTCAGGGCTAATAGGTAGGCCTTTGGACTGGTTTGGTAGGTTCGAGCTTGTAGGTAGCTCCGAACCGGGGTGTGTAAGTGTGTCTCGGTATGCCCCTACAATTGTGGTGCCCTTTGGTGGCAATGGATGGTGCCCTTTGGTGGCAATGATCATGTTTCAATGTTAAGTTAAATGTTACAATGTTTGGGTTTATGTTATGTGGGAGTGGGTCATTGTCGGGGGTTAAAATTGTAAAATGCAGGGTGGTAATTGTGCAGGCCAACATTGGCCTGCTGTTAACAATGACCTTTATATTTTATGTTAAGAATCAATAAAGCTGCGATATAAATTTTGCCAAAACTATGGTGTCAGTTTTTTATTGGTAAATGGGTAATGGTGGGGTTTATGCATATGCCGACAAGGCGACTGTGCACATGTCATGCATTAGAAATACCATGGTGTGTTCAGTTAGAGCTTTGTATTTTTTTTTATTCTTGACAATAAATATTTTTGTAAAAACTGCAGTTAAAAAACAATACAAAATAAGCATTTCAGAGTACACATTGTGGCAACTATATCTATACATTACAAAACACAAAAACAGTAGGAATAAAGATATGTTTTTTATATTTAACGGTTTGAAAAAAACACTTTTGAGTTTTGTAAAGTTGTTTTTAATGATACTTTAATATCTTTATTTCTAAAACTGTAAATTATTGGATTGACCATGGGTATTGCTGCAGTGTAAATCACTGCTGCTATCACTTCACTCTGTACAGAACTTTTCAATTTGGGTGTTAGATAAACAAAAAGGGTAGTGCAATAATAGATTGAGGCAGCGATTATGTGAGAAGAACACGTTGAAAAAGCTTTTTTTCTTCCCTTCATATGTTTTAACTTTAAAATAGCCAAAAAGATGGCAAAATATGATGGGATGATTATGAAGATAGAAAGCATTGTTATAGCAAATACAAAAATAAATAGAATAAGTTCATTAATAGATGTATCTGTGCAAGAGATACTTAGCAGAGGAGGAAAGTCGCAAACAAAATGATGGAGAATATTAGATGCACAAAAGTAGAGATGAAATGTAAAACATATCTCAATCAAGGCATTCACAAAGCCAATAGTGAAAGCTCCAGACACTAGTACCATACAAGTAGTTGATCGCATGACAATGTTGTAGTTTAATGGGTTACATATTGCAACATAGCGATCATAGGCCATTACAGCAAAAAGGCAACATTCAGTTGTACCAAATGTGCAGAAGAAGAAGAGTTGAACTGCACAGCCAATATAGGAGATAGTCTTCTTCTCATAAAATAAATCGACAATCATTTTTGGAGTAATATCTGAAGAATAGCAGAGATCCAAAAACGATAGACTACAGATAAAGAAGTACATGGGCGTGCGTAATCTGGCATTTTTATAGACAAGGAACATTATTCCTGTATTTCCTAAAATGGTAAACAGATAAACTAATACAAATATTGGGAATAAACCTATCTGTAGATCACGCCTTGAAGAAAAACCCATTAGAATGAATTCCGTAACTGTAGAGTCATTGATGCGATGGTACATTCCCATTTAGTATGTAGAAAAATGCTGCAAGGAAAAAGATAACAATGATTAATAATTAACCAAACAAGCATACACAAGGCTATGATCACAGACACTAGGATTTTTCAGTTCCTAGGACTTTTCAGTTCCCTATATAGATGTAACTAAATAATTTTCCCTTTCCACATCTCATTGCACTCCTTTAGTAGACATGCTCCTTATATATGCACCACAGTAAAATGGAGTAAACAGTATTAGACTTTGTGACAGTGTGTATTATGGGTAAATGTAACCCATTCCTGTGTAAGTATGCATGTGGGATAGAGGCAGAGATATGATCTGACATGATAATCGTGAAGAAAGTTGGACCGGGGCCATTCAGGCAGATTTTATTAGAAAACCATAGCACCTTATGGCTCCCATGGAGCCTTTATTGTTTATTATTGTTGGTTTTTTTTTGGCTTGTACGCCCAACAGAACTCACTTATGCTTGAGAAAGCCCCGAGAGGCGGGGCGAAACATGTAGCACGCTGAACCCGGAAGTCACTACACGTGGATGGAGCGTCTGCGATCAGCTAAAACACACAGTGTGATAGAACTTGTACGGTTTATACACTGACATCCAGGACAATATTTGATCTACTCCTACAACACTTTTTATTATTTTTACCATTGATATATTTGTTTATTTGGCAATTAAAGGAATATTTTTGTATACTTCAACCCTTCGGCTGAGAGTGAATTCATCATGCACACTTCACTTGGATCCTACGTTCTCCAGGGGCTGATCCTCCCAGAGCCTGATTGTTTGGAGTGGTACTTCAACCACTCAACAATTGTGAGTTTAATACTTCTACATACAGTTGCAAGAAAAAGTATGTGAACCCTTTGGAATGATATGGATTTCTGCACAAATTGGTCATAAAATGTGATCTGATCATCATCTAAGTCACAACAATAGACAATCACAGTCTGCTTAAACTAATAACACACAAAGAATGAAATGTTGCTATGTTTTTATTGAAAACACCATGTAAACATTCACAGTTCAGGTGGAAAAAGTATGTGAACCCTTGGATTTAATAACTGGTTGAACCTCCTTTGGCAATAATAACTTCAACCAAACGTTTCCTGTATTTGCAGATCAGACATGCGCAATGGTCAGGAGTAATTCTTGACCATTCCTCTTTACAGAACTGTTTCAGTTCAGCAATATACTTAGGATGTCTGGTGTGAATCGCTGGTGTGCCACAGCATCTCAATCGGGTTGAGGTCAGGACTCTGACTGGGCCACTTCAGAAGGCGTATTTTCTTCTGTTTAGGCCATTCTGTTGTTGATTTACTTCTATGCTTTGGGTCATTGTCCTATTGCAACACCCATCTACTGTTGAGCTTCAGCTGGTAGACAGACGGCCTTAAGTTCTCCTGCAAAATGTCTTGATAAACTTGGGAATTTATTTTTCCTTTCATGATAGCAATCCGTCCAGGCCCTGACACAGCAAAGCAGCCCCAAACCACGATGCCCCCACCACCATACTTCCCAGTTGGGATGAGGTTTTGATGTTGGTGTGCTGTGCCTTTTCTTCCAAACAACTCAACTTTGGTTTTATCTGTCCACAGAATATTTTGCCAGTACTGCTGTGGAACATCCAGGTGCTCTTGTGCAAACTGTAAACGTGCAGCAATGTTTTGTTTTGACAGCAGTGGCTTCCTCTGTGGTATCCTCCCATGAAATCCATTCTTGTTTAGTGTTTTATGTATTGTAGATTCGCTAACAGAGATGTTAGCATTTGCCAGTGACTTTTGTAAGTCTTTAGCTGACACTCTAGGATTCTTTTTCACCTCATTGAGCAGTCTGCGCTGTGCTCTTGCAGTCATCTTTACAGGACGGCCACTCCTAGGGAGAGTAGCAGCAGTGCTGAACTTTCTCCATTTATAGACAATTTGTCTTACCGTGAACTGATGAACAGCAAGGCTTTTGGAGATACTTTTATAACCCTTTCCAGCTTTATGCAAGTCAACAATTCTTAATCGTAGGTCTTCTGAGAGCTCTTTTGTGCGAGGCATCATTCACATAAGGCAATGCTTCTTGTGAAAAGCAAACCCAGAACTGGTGTGCGTTTTTTATAGGGCAGTGCAGCTGTAATCACCTCCAATCTCATCTCATTGATTGGACTCCAGTTGGCTGACATCTCACTCAAATTAGATCTTGGACATGTCATTAGTCTAGGGGTTCACATACTTTTTCCACCTGCACTGTGAATGTTTACATGGTGTGTTCAATAAAAACATGGCAACATTTCATTCTTTGTGTGTTATTAGTTTAAGCAGACTGTGATTGTCTATTGTTGTGACTTAGATGATGATCAGATCACATTTTATGACCAATTTGTGCAGAAATCCATATAATTCCAAAGGGTTCACATACTTTTTCTTGCAACTGTATATTTTACAAAGGACTTTTTTTTACAATATTGCACTAGGTTCTTTCTGATATGTATTCTAGATTAAGCTGTTCCTGTATACAAGTGCAGTATATATTTGCTGGTTACATTATATTTTGCCTGACCACTTGGTGTTTTATGCATGCTTCAGCTGCCCACATATCTTGTTTTTATTTCTGCATATACTTTTGTGTATATATTGGTATACCTCACATATCATCTGTTCAAGAATATTTCTCTGGTTTCTATTTTCTAAACAACTTTGCTCACCTGCACTTTTTGAGTTTTTATTCTTATACAGGCGGGAATTGAGGTCCACACTGGTGGAAGCAGCGCACTAACTTTAACTATAATAAATAACTATATGTCCTTAATATAAGAAAGTGTACATTGTTTGTCACACTTGCATTTGCCAAAATACATTTTATATTTAATTAAATTTTTTTGGACTGAAGTCCATGTGCTGAACACTCAGGAGTCCAGTTCCCTCCCCCCCATTGGGGGATGGCACCATGACAATCTTTTATGCGTCTGCTTCATGTGAGTGATTATATTATATTTTTGTTTACAGATTTTTTTTGTTTTTCCTATAAAAATTTACACAGTGTTTACTTGTAAGAAAGCCTAGTCTGAACTGGATTATGATATAATTTCCGGAATCTTTATAAATTTATTATCTTTATAAAGAAAACAGAGCATCTCATGGAAAAAAGTGAAAGTTATAAATGTTTTTATTGATTTATTAAATGGTCTAAGTTTCAGGAAACTCCTCTTTCAACACTATATAAAATAAGTGCAACCAAATGCTTGCCAATGATAATTCCGATGGCATGTGAAATATTCAAAACATTATTAATTTATTTCAGTTTGCCCCTTTTATACTATGAAAATGTTATGAGACAGTATAGATATATATATTTTTTTACTGTTTTTAATTACTTATTTATGTCAGACTAGCAAGCTGTACCTATATAATTGTTCCAAATTAGTACTTTTGCCTGTATTTTGAAATTCATATTTCAATTCACTGCAAGTTTCTATTGAGTGAAAAAATCCAGTCTTCAAAGAAACATATTCACTATATAATACATTGCAATATTTCAGTATAACTCCAATGACAATTCACATTTTAACTCACATGCCACATCAATGCAAAACCTCTTGGGTGAGTCCTACACTTCACCTTCATTGGAGTGATACTAAAAAACCTCCAGTTAGTTAAATCTACATAGTAATTTGGTATAGTGCACTATGATGATTGCTGCCACTCAGGAGAAGTGGGAATTTGAGCGCAGGGCTCAATATTGTATGTTTGTATTTGCATTTGTATTACACAACCATATTACAGTGCTGCTGTCCACCTTATATGTTCACTATTAAGGGTTAATAAGTGTACGACTCAACTATGAGATTTGTCTTTATGTGAGCTTACACTGAGAGATAAGAATAAGATGCATTTTGTGTAATGGAAAAGTAGGATGGGGAGTTTACAATGAAGGCTTAGTTTGTTATATGATGCAGTTCCAGGAGAGAAGGTGGGTTGGTGATGTGTGGGATGGGAAAGCTGTTAATGGTTTAATTGATATTCCTTCTTGAAGAAGTTAGTTTTCAGTGAATTTTTGAAGTAATGGAGACAGGGTGAGATTCAATTGGAACCAGGAAGTTCCAAAGGAGTGGCGAGGGTTTTGAAAAGTCTTGAAGGTGAGGTTTGAGTACGAACAGAAAATAGACGCAAGTCTTCGTCATAGCATAGGGGCCTAGATGGGAAATATTTGTATTTTAGTGAGGATAGGTAGACACGAGCAGTATTATGAAGAGTTTTGCAACTGTGAATCAGAATTTTCAATTAAGCTTGATATCTAATGGGAAGCCAATATAAGGACTGACAAGGAGGAGGACAGGAAGAAGAAACTTGCTGCAGCATTTATTATAAACTTTAGCATGGTGAGCTGGGAGTATGTAAGACCAGTAAGAAGCAGATTGCAGTAGCCAAGCAGGTAATCAATAGCAGCATGGACGAGCACTTTAACTACAGGTGTTCAGTAGAGGCAGGTGCTAGATATGTTTGTGAGATGGAAGCAAAAGGATTTGGAGAGTGACTGGATGTGAGGGTTGAAGTAGAGATTGGAATCAAGGAGAACACCAAGTCAGCAAGCCTGTAAGGAAGGGCTGATTATAGTGCCATTAATTTAAAGGGAGACAAACATGGAGACGGGAGGTTCTGTTTTGGAAAGACTGAGTTTAAGGAAGTGATCTGCCATCCAGTTACAAATAACAGAGAGGGAGTTGGAGACACGAT